GGGTGAAAAAAAGTCAATTTTTTATAAAAGCTAAGGAGATTTTGTATGGTGTCGGCATTGCTGACTGACTTTAGACAAGATTCATTTTTTTTTTAACTTTCTCGCTTAAAAAATTGAAAATTTTGAAAAATTCGGAAAGTTATTGGTTTTACCCCGTTTTGCGAAAATCGAGTTTTCATCAAATCTCGACGTTTTGAGGTTCGAGAAAGCTTCCCTGACTACTCCCGCGATGGTGTCTGTATGTCTGTAATTATGTATGTGTGTGCATGTGTGTGTATGTATTGTATGTACGTGTGGATGTATCTAAACCTCTCATAACTTTTGAAGGGCTCGACCGATTCGATCGCGGTTGGTGCCATTTGAAAGGGCTTGACCAAACGTAGATTTTGAAACCTACTTGGACCGATTCAGATCAATAGATTTCGAGAAATCTTCAAAAAACTGATAAAAAATTTTTTTTCAAATATTGTTTTTTTGGAATAACTCTTAAACGGCTTGATGGTTCAACTCCAAAAACTAATCAGCTCTTAACCTCAAAAAACCACATCGATCGCCACCAGTCCGGTCAAAATCGGTTGATTCGTTCAAGAGATATCATGAACGAAAGAAAAGGGTTTTTTTCGAATTACACCGTAATTTTTGGTCCGATCAATTCGTATTTGAAAAAATATATATTATAGAATTCAAAAAACTGCGTCGAATACCGCTAACCGCGTGAAAATCGGTTCAATCATTCAAAAGTTATTGCGGTTTGAAAATTCAAAAAATAGTATTTTATTAAACTTCTATCAGACTTTTAAGCTCGGAAAGCTCAAAACTACATTAAAATTATATCTTTGATCTTGAAGAGCTCAAAAACGTAACAAGTGCACGCAGAAAAAAATTTTGTTAAAATAATCTAAGATATCGATGGTTTTCTGACGCAACCTCGTATCTCAGAAACTACTACTTTCCAGCAAAGACAAAAAACGTTTTATAATGAAATTTTCAATTTTTAACTTCCCGCTAAGAAAATTGAAAATTTTCAAAAATCGGGAAGTTATTGTTTTCACCCCGTTTTTCGAAAATCGAGTTTTAATCAGATCTCGATGTTTTGAGGTCTTAGGAAGCTTTCCTGACTATTTCCGCGGTGACGTCACCGTGTCTGTATGTATGTGTGTGTGTGTGTGTTTTTTTTTTTTTTTTTTTTTTCTCCTTAGGGGGGAGAATCCTTTTTACGGATTCTAGGCATAGATGTTGGCCTGGATATGTGGCGACTCGACGCAGCGTCATACTAAAACTTGACGCTGACGCTCCTACCCACTAAACCCTAAACCCCTTTCTCTTCTATCCTCTGACCTCATGGAAACCGCCGTCAGGCATTACTTCGTGAGGGGAGGATCTAGCTACTGCTCTTCCTTCTGATGGCTAAGGTGTTAACTACCTTCCTATATGTATGAGTCCATATATGATCAGATCTGATCATATATAAGTCTATATATAATTAGATCTGATCATATATTCCCGCGATGGTGTCTGTATGTCTGCATGTGTGTGTGTGTGAGTGTGTGTGTGTGT